ATGTGGTGCTTTTTTGAGACCCCATGCTGTGTCCAGCTCTGGAGCCCCCAGCACAGGAAGGACATGGAGCAAGTCCAGAGGAGGCCATGGAGGTGATCCAAGGGCTGGAGCAGCTCTGCTCTGGACAGGCTGGGAGAGCTGGGGTGTTCAACCTGGAGAAGAGAAGGCTCCAGGGAGACCTTAGAGCACCTTCCAGTGCCTGAAGGGGCTCCAGGAAAGCTGGGGAGGGGCTTGGGGCAAGGGCAGGGAGAGAGAGGACAAGAGATTGAAACTGGAAGAGGGAGATTTAGTTTGAACATCAGGAGGAAATTCTTCTCTGTGAGGGTGGTGAGACCCTGGCCCAGGCTGCCCAGAGAAGCTGTGGCTGCCCCATCCCTGGCAGTGCTGAAGGGCAGGTTGGATGGGGCTTGGGGCAGCCCGGGCTGGTGGGGGGGGGCCCTGCCCATGCAGGGGGTTGGGACTTGATGGTCTTTAAGGTCCCTTCCAGCCCAGCCTGTCTGGGATTTCATTATCCTTTTCACCATGAGGGGCATGAGGTAACCTCTGTGACAGTGATACCTCAGCAGTGGGTAACAGAAGATGACAAGACTGTCTCCTTCACCTAGTGAAGGGGGCAGGGCTTCCCACCAGTGGTAGCTGTTGAAGTGCCTCATCAGTGACTTCTAACCACAGGATTAAAGGTGTTTTCTCCTTATGGACATCTGTGGCACTGATGTTAAGCAGAAAGGTGGCAAGTGATCCAAGATTTCTAGATCCCAGATTTGGAGTTAATGTCAGCTAAAGAGATGTGGGCAGGGAGTCCAAGAGAACGATCTGAAGAAAGATCAGCCAAACCTTAAGTTGTTCTCTTTTCTCAGGGTTCATCGCGTTCTCATCCATGCCAGAACTGGCTCAGAAAATCAAACTGTTTTTTGCCCTGGCTCCAGTAGTGACAATCAAGCACGCCAGAAGTCCCTTCATGAAATTGTCCTTCCTCCTGGACAGGCAATTCAAGATGCTTTATGTAGGGGATTATTCCATGCTCCCTTCCCTCCAACACAGTGGTGCTAGGAAGGGGATGGTGCCCAGGCTGGACACCCTGGGGCCAACCAGTGGGACAGGGAACAGTTAATTCCCACTTATTTATAAGCACAGATATGATCGAGGTGCAGGGGCACTCCTGCATGGTCACCTACTTGGGTGCACCTTCCATCTGTAGCGCCCTCAGGTGTTGAAACTGGCCCATCTCCAGAGGCACCTGCTGCGTTCCTGGGCAGAGGGCCTGGAAAAGAGCAGCTTTACTGGGCTGGTTATAATGGCAGTGACAAATGAGTCCAATGCTTGGGGAAGATGGGAGGAAAGGGGAGGTTCAGACTGGATATTGGGGAGAATTTCTTTACCCAAAGAGTGGCTGGACACTGGAAGGGGCTGCCCAGGGAGGTGGTGAAGTCTCCATCCCTGGAGGAATTCAAGAAACATGTAAAAGTAGCACTTCAGGGCATGCTCTAGTGGGCATGGAGGTTTTCAGGGTTGACGGTTGGACCCAGTGGTCTTAGAATTCTTTTCCCACGGTGATGATTCTGTGACTCTGTGGAAGAGAGAAGTCCTGAGTATTGCTGTCCCTGCTGGGTGTTAATCATCCCAGCCCCTGCAGCAACCTGTGAACGTCCCAGCAGGGCAGGAGGACAAAGCAGGAGTGACTTCCACCCCTGTGGCCACCCCTGTAGCACATCCCCTCCCTGTCCAGCTGCTGGGACAGCTCAGGGACACCAGTTAGTAGCAGGACAGGGGGAACATTCTGAGGGCTGGGCTGCAGGGAGGGGGATAAAGGAAATCAACCTGTCCCTCTGCCCCCACAGCTGCTGCTGGGCAGAACGGATGCCACGCTGCGGGTGAGGAAGCTCTGGAGGTTTCTCCCCCAGCTATGCAGGCAACCCCCACTGCACCAGCTTTGTGCCAACCTCTTCTTTCTGCTGGGTGGCTACAATGAGAAGAACTTCAACATGGTGGGTGCACTGCCCGAACTCCCCTTCCCAGCCCAACACCCCGCTCAGCCTGCCAGGCCAACGTGTGTCCTGCCAGATCCCTCTCGCTGCTTCTCCTCCCAGATAGGAAGTCTCCAGCCTCTGTTGGGTGAACATCAGTGGCCAGATGGCACCTGATGGCATCTGAGTTCAGGCTACCTGTCACCAGCTGTACCCCGGGGGTCCACCTGCTGCTCCTAGCCACCCTACAATCAAGTCTGACGATGGGTGGTCATTAAGGTCTTGAGCCCAGTCCCTGAGCCCAGATAAGGCATCTCCAGGTGCTAGGGGTACCTTCATCACCATCCTCCTCCTGGAGCTGTCTCACAGCAGTGGATTTTTCATGACAGTTCTATTCCTGAACCTGGCCCAGCTCTCTAGGCATCATTTGGCAACTGCTGTCCTCACTCCTGTCCTTTGGAAGGTGATGAAAGCCTGGCTCTGTTTCCTTGCAGACCCGGCTGGATGTGTACACCTCCCATTTTCCAGATAGGACATCTGTCAAAAACGTGATACACTGGGCACAGGTAGGATCCTTGAACCCCCTGGGATGGTCCCTTCACTCAGATTCTGGTGTGAGAGGTCAGGGATCTTGGACACAAGACAGTAAAGGCAAGAAATGAGATGTACAGAAGAGGCACTGGCTGCACGATGAGCTGGGATGTGAGTCCTGAGCTGTGCCAGGACAAGGGAAGGGGTGGGAATGCAACTTCAGAGACCAGTTTGTGGCCTCCAGGGATCCCCAAAGCCTCTTCTCCCTGGTGACCAGTGATAGGAGAAGAGGTTCAGGCTGGATACTAGAGAAAATCTCTTCACATAAAAAGTGGCCTTGGAACAGGCCGCCCAGGGAGTTGGTGGAGGCACCATCTCTGGAGGTGTTCAAAAAAGGGGTAGACATGGTGTTTTATAAGATGGTTTAGTGGTTAGGGGTTGTAAGGTGGATGGTTGGACTTGATGATCTTGAAGGTCTTTTCCAACCTTGGTTCCAAGAACAGGGACACCATGCTGATGCTGGGTGAAGCCCCGGCATGCAAGGAGAGGCTGTGGAACTGGGCTTGCTCAGCCAAGGACAAGGAGGCAAAAGGGGATCCAACATCCTCTCCCCCTGCCCAAAGGTGTCCTGGAGATACCTGGGACCAGGCTCTGCCAGTCTAAGGGACCTGCTACAGCTGCAACATTGGCCCTGCTGGAGAGGGAGTCAGGCTGGAGACCCTCACCTTGGTGTCTCCCTCCAGAGCCAAATTATAGGTAACAGGGAAGGCAATAAAAGGTCTTTTTTAATCAATGCAACCATTAGTGCAGGTATCTGAGCTTCCACCCTGGCATAGAAGACACTGTTATAATGACTAGGCTCACTGATGTTCCTCTACTCCAAGCCCATGAGAAGTTAAGGAGGATCAGGTTGTTGAAGGAAAACTCATGAGTGGGAAGTCCTTCTGTGGTGTCCACACATCTGTTGATGAGCAGGTTTTCAGAGCCACGAGTGGCACCAGGGCAGTAAGGGAGCTGTATGCAACACCTTGGTTTGTCAGCCCTTCACTGGGGACAGGCATGGAGCTGTAGGTCAAAGCATCACCCTGTTAAAAAAGATGGAAAGTTTAGCTTTCCTGGGATGTCACCTCCTCCTGCCACGTCCCATGCAAGCAGCCTCTCATGATGGGCTCCCTCAAGGAGGCCAGGGGATGCCAGAACCATGTAGCAGCACTGCCTGGCCTCCCACCACAAATCTCTCCTCTCCTTCCAGATCATGAAATCAGGGGAATTCAAAGCCTTTGACTATGGCAGAGAAAACCCAGCCAGATACCACCAGGTAGGAGGCTACAGCAGCAGTGCTGGAAGCTGCAGGTGCCAGGGGACTGTCCTGGGTGGTGAGGGGATGGGCTGTCTTGCCAGGGGTGACCACATTCCTCAAAGCCCCCTGTGTCCCTCCAGGAGACACCTCCCTCCTACCGGGTGGAGGAGATGCCTGTGCCCACCGCGGTGTGGTCAGGGGGACAGGACTGGGTGGCTGACTGGAGGGATGTCCACCTGCTGCTGCCCCGCATTGCCCAGCTCGTCACCTACGGCCACATCCCAGACTGGAACCACTGGGACTTCATCTGGGGCTTTGATGCTCCCGAGCGCCTCTACAGGAGCATCCTGGAGCTGATGGAGGGGTCCTGGTAGAGCGGCAGCTCCCCTGGGAGGTGCTGATGGCCTGGCCCCTCTCCCTTGGCTGGGGTATCCCCTGCTGTCCCCTCCTTCCTGCT